TGAAATCGGCATGGATGTGTGATTACACTGGCTACGGGTATTGCTTCCCGGACTCCGACCCATTAAGCGCAGCTGCCGTTGCGTGTGTTTTGATGAAATCGGCATGGATGTGTGATTACACGTGGCTACGGGTATTGCTTCCCGGACTCCGACCCGTTAAGCGCAGTTGTTGTTGCGTGTGTTTTGATGAAATCGACATGGATGTGTGATTACACGTGGCTACGGGTATTGCTTCCCGGACTCCGACCCGTTAAGCGCAGCTGCCATTGCGTGTGTTTTGATGAAATCGGCATGGATGTGTGATTACACGTGGCTACGAGTATTGCTTCCGCCACCTTCTTCACCCCGCTCCCGCTCATCCTCGCCCTCTCCTCTCTGGAACCACTCACAGTCCCCGAATTCCCAATGGAGAAAGCAGAACCAAATGGCATGGCCGTCGTCCGATAAAAGGGGCCTAGGATTTTACCGAAGATTAAGCATCGTAGCGATCGGACGATTGAGAGTGGATTATCACGCTTTCGCAAAAGAAACAAAAAATAATAATAATAACCTATTAATCATAAAGGAAAACTAAAATTAAACTTTAATGGGTATTATAATAAAAAAATATATTATTTAGTTTTTAACCCAATGGCGCACTCCAATTGGTATTTATGGGGATACTCTTTTTTTCATTATTTTGATAAAAATACCATTACATACTCCACCAATCACCTCCGACCAACGTCGTCGTCTTCTTCGTCATCAACCAATTTATACGATCAAACATCTAAATAAAAATAATAATCTTGTCCGGTATTAAGACCCATAATTTTTAATTTTTAATTAAAATTTATAAAAACATGAAACACTTAATAAGATCTTCATATTCTTATCATCATACAATAAAATTGACAACACATCCACACTGGATGTGCAGTCCTGCTACACCTATTCTGTATATTATAAAAAATATTTCTTTTTGTACTTGAGAATTCTTTATTTTTTACTCATGACTGTGTCCATAAAGTTGATAATTTGTTTCGGAAAAGTACTATATATTTTTCTTTCCTAGAAAAAAAATTGACAACATATTGATTCCATTGATAACATACAATTAACATATAGTTGCAATACTCGCAAAAATAGTCTCATAGCCTAGTGGAGTTTCCACCCCAATGTCAGAAGCCAGTCAGGTGGATTGCCTTTTGGAATCCTGCAGAAGATACTTCAGCCAGAATCCTGTCACTGGGCTAGTCTTGGCTTCTGTTTGCAGGGATAGAAAGCAGAAATTTCCAGATCAGTTTTCAGATCTGCAATAGATTTGCACCTGGGATGTAAAGATTGAATCCCAACACCCCAAGCATACAAATGTTATTACAAGCAAATTGGAACAACAAATGCACCCTAAAAGAGATCCATGAACAATAATAAGAAATTTAAAAGCATGAGACAAGTCAGCTCAACCAGTAAACATGGCCAAGGTCTCATTTGTACCTCTTGACATGCAAACAACTGCTGTCATGGTCAATCTGAGAAGCACATGGTTAAGCTCACCCCATAATGCCACTGCAAAGGTCTTGAGCTTTGATTTGCATAACATGAGTGCCAAAAGTGTCAAATAAGGAAGATGGGTAATAATCACAAAAACATAGTACCATATAGTGCCATTATGCTTTAGATGACCAAAAATACAATTTGGATGGCAAAAACAACCACCGCTGCTGATCATTGCCTAGAAAGAAAATTTCTGATCACCCTCCTAATGTGGTTGCTCAAGATATAACTTCCTCTCAGCATTGTCGTTGTGCAGTAGCCTAGGGTTTCAGAACCTGATCAAAATGTCTCTGAGAGAGCACCAGTTTTGACCTCTCTAAAACACCAAAGAAGATCGAACCACCAATACCGATCCATAACACTCTTGGCCCAATACCCTATCAAAGAAACTCAAAATAATGAAGGAAAGGAAAGGAAAGCATAATCTTTATCAAGGTACATATAGTTCTCTTAGTGCACCACACATAAAATCTGCAATTGGTAAAAGCTTATAGTAGGCTCTGGGACCTGCATGCGCATTGTTGTATTGCAATTTGAAATTAAGGTAGCTAAGTAGGATACTTATGCTTGCATACTATCATGTCTTAAAAGTTAATTAATAGTGCGCTTGACATAGTGTTCAATGTAAGTGCTCAAACATATAAGAATTATTAGAGAAAGGAGTTAGTGTTAAAACTGTTGTAGTTGCATTATTCTCACTAAAATTAATTGTCTCAAGCATTTTTGAATTATGATAGAGTGACTTCCATC